TAGTAATCAAAATTCCAAAGGCAGATTTATAGTCACTAGAATGAGAGGGTCATTTTGGAACATCACAAGAATGCATACTCAGATGGAAATCTAGTTAAACTGTGGTTGCTCATCAAGTTGCATGCATTCCTGCATTTTCTCAATCAGTTCTTCCTTGTACTTACTTGCCTTTCTCTTTTCCAACTTGCCAAGATTTGGCTTTATGTTCAAGAATTCTTTTCTGATCTTTATGTAATTTCAGCCCGGTGATAACCACCTTGCTTGGGTGAATGCCCACACGCACAGTTATACCATGAGCCTTCTCAACGCTGCACTCTTTCGATGCAGAAGAAATACTTCTTTCTGTACACCTGGATTACCTTGCTAATTTGCTGACCTTTGTAATGTCCTCGCACCACTTGGACCTCGTCATCCTTGCGGATGGGCATGGAGCGCACATTGTACTCCTGCCGCAGCTCCTTGGACAGAGGGGAGGACATGATCTTCCTGTGCATATGCATGGGGGCACTGAAGTGGCGTTTGTGGTTCTTGCTGCAGTCTGAGGTAACAAAAGGGTTGAACTTCATGGTGACAGCTGTCCAGCAGCATCAGGCTCTCCACATGCCAGAATGACTTGTTAAGTCTTCCTTATTCATTGTCCAACTTTCAGATGTATATAAAGGAACTGAAAACAATGTTTTATGTCAGACTCATTTGAGTCTTCAAATCTACATCCTTGCTTTTTAGCACTTTAAAGAGATCCCCAACAGCAGATTTTTCCAAAGTAACATATCTTTTATTTTTTTTCACTCTGCTATTATGCATATTGGAGAGCTCTGCTGCCCTACTGGCAAGATCCTGCACTGCAATCACGAAGGCACATGGTTCAAGGCCACCAGCTGTTCTGGGGGAGAAGGATGGACAATCTCCTCCTGTGTGATTAACTGACTCTGAAAACCCACTGGACAGTTAGCTATCAATCAGTTCCAACTCAGCAGTACACAACAAACAACAATTATGCATATTGCCTGTGATCCAAGTAAAATGAAATCACTGACAGTTTCCATATTTCTTTTCGCCTTTTATTATGATGTAGCTTACTTTTTTGTTCAATTATTAAGATTTCTGGGGTTTTTATGTCTAGGTCTGACTCATATTAAAGGCTACAGTCTTTGGTCTTCCTCATCCAGTGCTACAAGTCGTCTTGACTGTTTGCAAGCAAGGTTTCTGCATAACATAGATTAATGAAGAGTCTTCCTCCAATCCTGATGCTTCATTCTGGAATTATTTGCTCAGCATACAGATTAAATAGTTATGGAGAAGGGACACAACCCTGACACACACCTTTCCTGATTTTAAACGATGCAGTATCTGCTTGTTCTGTATGACATAGTATTATTCCACTGTTTCTCAGTTCATATACAAGTTCCACATGAGTATAATTAAGTGTTCTGGAGCACAATTAAGTTTCTTATTTTATGTACAAGTTTTTCATGTGCATAATCAAATGTTCTCTGGAACATTTCTCACAATGTTATATATAATTTGTCATGGCCCACATAGTTGAATGGTTTTGCATAGTCAATAAAACACAAGTAAACATTTCTCTCGTATTCTCTTTTAGTCAAGACCCATCTGACATGGGTATATATACATAGGGAGAAAAAAGAAATATGTATCAATGGGTATATATATATATATATATATATATACATGCCCATTGATACATATATGGAATCCTGGTAGCTTACTAGTAAGAAGTTATGCTGCAATCTTCAAAGGCATGAAGTTGTAATCTACTAACTGCTCCATGGGAGAAGAACGGGCAGACAACAACTATATATGTACACACACATAGACACATACACATATCTCTGGTGACCCAGTGGTAAGATGCTACAGTGCAATCCTGAAGGCAAGCTTCGAATCCACCAACTGCTCCACAGGAGGATGCGCAATCTCGTCCTGTGAGATTTACCGCTTCTGAAAATCCACTGAAGGGTCAACTATGGGTTGGTTTTGGCCCCACAGTACACAACAACAGAGAGATATAGATAGGTGTTTGTTGTTGGTTTATAGTTACTCTACATACACTAGCCATGTACCAGTGCAGTTCAGTAAGGGTCTTCCTTTTTATCACTAATGCTATACTATGCAACATGCATGATATCCTTCTACAAAGCCTAGTGTCTACTGGCAACATGTCCAAAGTAAAACAAGTCTCATCATCCTAGCTCCTAAGAAGCATTCTGGCTACACTTCTTCTAAGATAGATGTGTTATTTCTTCTCATGTTTCATAGTATATTTTATAATCTTCAATAACACCATCATTCAAAGGCATCAATATTTCTTGATACTTCCTTATTCATTGTCCAGCTTTCCTATATATCTGAGGCAACTAAGGATTAGGCACATCTTAGTCCTCCAAGTAACGTCTTTAGTTTTTAATACTTCAAGAGGTCTTTTGCTGAAGACTTGTTCAATACAGTAAGTGTGATTTTTATTTGATTTGATTTTGACTATTGCTTCCATGGACACTAATTTTGGATCCAATGAAAATTAAATCCTGGACAAAATCAACCCTTTCTCTGTTCATCCTAATATTGCTTACTAGTCCAGTTGTAAGGATCTCTAGTTTATTTAGGATGAGATATAATCTACTGAGGTTATCTCTAAGTGACTATCTTCTTTATCAGTAAGGGCTTCAAGTCTTTACTTTCAGCAAGCAAGGTTGTGTCATCTCCATAATGCAGGTTGTTAAAGAGTGTTTCTTCAATCTTGATCCTGTGTTCTTCATATAACCTTGTTTCTAATCTGCTCTGAAATTCTTATTTCTCATACTATCCTTAATTTGCTATGATGCACACAGTCAAATACTTTTGCAGAGCCAATAAAACACAATAAGTAACTTTCTGGTATTCTCTTTTAGCCATGATCCATCTCACATTAGCAAACAAAAACACATTGCTGTCAAGTTTGAATCAGCTCATGGCTAACCCTCAAGCAAGTTCTCAGAACCCTTAAATCACAAAGAAAAACCTGTCCACCTTTCTCCTGACACCAGAGAGGCACTGCCTGAGAGTATGTAGCACAACATCCTATGGACCATGCCAGCAGTGCTCTCTGACATTGGGCAACGATGGCATTAGCAATATCCTCAATGTTCTATGTTCTCTTCTAAAGCTGCCTTGAATTTCTGACAGTTTCCTCCAGTTTTTTATTATCTTCAACAAAATTTTACTGGTTTGTAATATTAATGATACTGTTCTGTAATTTCTGCATTCTAATAGATCTCTTCGAATAGGTTGGCCAATTGTCTTCCAAATTTCTTTGTGTAGAAGAGTGAGTGCTTCTAGCACTGTATCCACCTACTGAAAAAAATATCAACTGGTATTCCATCAATTCTTGAAGCCTTGAATTTTATCATGCCTTTTACCAATACCTTGGACTTCTTCCCAAATGCAGTACTATACTTTTTGGTACAACAAGCCTGTTTCATTCTTTCCATCTTCTTTTGATGCTTCTTACATCGTGTGTGTGTGTGTGTCTGTGTGTGTGTGAAAGAGAGAGAAAGCGCGTGCAAGAGAGAGAGTGTGTGTGCGTGCCTTTACAGCTGCCACCAAGTCTAACTTACAGTAGCCCTGTGTGTACAAGGGCAGAACTGTGCTCCACAGGGTTTTCAATGGCTCATTTCTCAGAAGGGCCTTTCTTTCAAGTGGTTCCTGGGTAAATTCCAATCTCCAACTTTTAGCAACCAAGCAAGTTATCTGTTTACACCTCCCAGGGATTCCACACATATATACATATAACAATATATACGTATAAGAAATAATATCACCAGTAACTAATGACATTAAAGATAACAACACTTCTAGTAAGTAGCAATACCAGTTAACAATAAAAATACAATGGGGGTCAGAGAACAGGTAGAACAAGTAAACAAGACACTGATCAAATCTCTGGCAACATCAATCAACTCTAATAAATATAAAATCATACCACCCCTCAAAATATAACTGTACCAACAGCTTCTTTGAGGGAAAACATTTTAAGTGTATATGTTGTTTTTGTTAAGTGCCATCAAGTCTAAATATATAAAAACCAGTAAGATTCTTGGGAAAGAATAAAAGAAAAAGTTCCAGTTCAAACATACAGACACTTCCAATAACAGCTACCAGATAATAAGAGACAGGCTGTGGTGGTATAATCCAAAGGGAGTCAAACTTCTAACCACAAGCAGCACTCCTCTCTGGTGGTTCGAATATACCACTGGCTTCTAGTGAGATAAAGATGGGCATTTTCCTTCTGTGCAACTTACAACTCTGGAAACTCAATGCAGGGTCAGTTATGAGTCAGTTCTGACTCAAGAGCAATGAGGTTTTTTGAGATTAAGAGACAGATATTCTTTATACATTATAATTCTTCTAAAATCCCCTTCACAAAGGTTTTATACTCCCAATTCACGAAAAGCAGCAGCTGAGGTCAGAGAAATATGGTGGCTTGCCCAAAGTTTGTTAGAAAATGGCAATGTTTAAATTCTTGTGAGGTTAGTCCAAATTAATATTCTGTTGTTTATAATAGATCATATTATAAGTCATATTAATTTTAACAACTGTATTTGACAGAAAAGGTTTATTTCCTTCCATCATATATTTTTAATTTCTGAAAAGCTAATAGCAAATAAATAAAACAGAAATTATGATTATCAAGTTTTAGGTCTTAAATGAACCTCGGTTCTGATATATTCAGATAAATCACATTTCTTATGCTAAATATTTAAATGAAAATGTATTGATCGAGATCATAGTAAGTATAGAGTTGTTTCTTGACTGAGGAAAAGGAATCTTTCACTACTAATGAAGAATATTAATGTTAAATAACAACCTTATTTTCTGATTTCTTTCAGGACTCAAATAGTTTACTGTAAGACATTACAATAAAGATTAAGAAATATTTAGAAATACAGTACAGAGAAAAAGTGAAATAACAACTCTGATTGTATTAAGCAACACATACTAACCATGAATCAGGGAGCCATTTAGCCATTGAATATAGTAGTTCTGAGGAAAAGAAAGCAGGATTTCATTGCTGATTATTGAGAAGGGTAAAAGCAAAACAGCACCAGCTGAAACTGCCAGAGTGAATGTGCTCAAAAACAACCTGGAAGAAAAAAAGAGTTACTGTGACAAATGCTCTGAAAAACAGTTCATGTGGAAAAACTAAAAAATGATCGTTTAATTTTTAATAAACAGTACTATATAAGATTTATTTAAATATATGTATTTAGTCATCAAATGATAAAGCATAAACCTGGAAACTGAACTAGATGAACTATAAAACTCCTTACTCTATGAAACCGCCCATTAAGTCTAATAAGAAAGAGCTACTAGACTCACACATTGGTAGACCACGATTTACAAAGTAGCTGAATTACAACAAACCACACTTCATACATTTAGTCATTACCAGCAGGCACTACATAGTGTTGCAGCACTTAATTTGTTGATGTTATGATTCTCAGATACTCAGATGTTCAATGTTACACTGCTCTATCCTCTATAGTAACCTATGGTCTGCTTTACAGTTGATAAATGCCAACAGCTTTCAACTCTTCTTCATAAGCAGAACAAATTTTTATGACATGTGTATTTTTTATCTGTTTATGAGCATTTTATGTTAAAATAGATCCCTAAGTTTGTATGCAATGTTTCCAAAGTCAAAGATAATAAAGATGTTTTTTATATATGTAATTAGTTCATAATTTAATGTACCACCTCTAGCAATACTGCAAGAATGCAACAATTATTTCAAAAGAAAAATAATTTTTACATTAATACAAAAAATAATAATTTAAAGCAATGTTGTTGTTGTTGTTATTGTTATATACCATCCAGTCAGAACCAACACAAGGAGATGTGGTGCCAATTTAAGGCTGGTGGTTCAAATCCACCACCTGCTCCACAGGAGACAGACAGACCATTTCCTCCCATGTGATCTACAACCACTGAAAATCTGCTGGAGGGTCAGTTGTAAGTTGTTTCCAACTTAACAGCAATCAACAACAACAACATTATACATACTAGTGGAACACTAATGAGGAAATAAGGAGCTCGGGTGGCTTTGTGGGAAGAACTGCTGTGTGGACAAAAAGGTGTGCAGTTCAAATCCACCAGCTTTTCTTCTCATGCAATTAACTGCCTCTAAAAACTCTCTGGAGCTATGGATTGGTTCCGACTTGATGGTACACAACAAATGGTGCACCGTTGGCAGAGTGCAGCTCAAAGTACAGGTACTCCACAAAATAAAGTTGGGCAGTCTCCATCTTGGAAACTCAGTGTAGGACTGTTATGAGTTAGACTCGACTCCATTGTACTAGGTATGGTTTTTATTGTACATATTAAAATGGGTGAAGAGAGAAGTAATACACATCATTGAAGAAAGAGAGGGCATGGAGAGATGCATCATAAATATAATCAGCAAAGGTAAACACTATTACACAGTCAATCCTGCAAATATTAGGAAAAATAAAACATTAACGAATGGCTGGGGGATTCAAACTGCTAACTTTTGGTAAGTAGCCCAATCCACAGCACAACAGACAACCGCAGCTCCTTATTAGACCACAGGAGACTATTAATATGGTTCTAATTATAAGGCATAGGAGGCTCTGGTGTCACAGTCCATAGGAAGCAACTCTGCTAACCCTTAGATGGCACTTCTCTGGCAGTTTGAATTCTCCTGTGCCTCTGAGGGGAAAAGATGGGCAATCTCCTCGCATGCAATTTATAGCCTCTGAAAACACACTAAGGGGTCAGCTACAAGTCAGCTTGGACTCAACAGTAACAAGCTTTGATGAGAAGGATAAGGTACAGTATTAGGCAGAGCCTCATTCTGTTACACATTGTGTTGCATGAGTCAGAACCAACTTGGTGGCACCAAAAAAAAAAAAAGCAGTTATGGGGAGGAGCCAGTTCCTGAGGAAAGACATTCTCGTGGTAAAGCAGAAGATCGACATAAAGGAGACAGACTGACCCAGTGCTTCCAACAGCTGTGGGCACAGCAGACTGTGAGAATGGCAGTGGATGGTTCCGTGGCACCTAATAGCAACATTTAATAATGCTTAAGACAATATTTTTTACAAAGTAATACTAATTTAATTTATTCTAATAAGGAAAGATGAAGCAGAAATACAATGGGCTTTCATTTTCCCAATTATAAATTACTGTACTTTTGATATTAATAAATAATTTTAAAAATCACTTTACCAAATAAAAAGGCAAAGAAAAGGGAATTTTACTAACATCAATAATTGAACATTAATCTTAAACTAGTCCATTAAGAGAATATAAAATAAAGCCTACAAAGGAAGATATATCAAGGAAGTGAAGAAAGTGGGGGAAATATGGTAGGGATCTAAAAAAAGATGGACTTATAGTAGGTATAGTTCAATGGTGATTAATTTTACATACAATGTGTACGAGTACTGTATGCACACAAATAAAAAAAATTTTTAAAGCTATGTATGATAGGGTATTATGATTATGACAAGAGTCCACAATTAAGGTTGCATAGTGGAGTGTTCTTGGGGTGGTGGGAGGGGTGCAGGGGGATTGTATATCAAAGAAAGAATTTTTCTTTTACTTTTCAAAGAAAGGAGTGAAATGGGATGGGGGCAGGGAGAAAAGTGCAACAATGAATGAATGGAAATCCAAAATCTCTGTAAATGTTCATCAAAATTATTAAAATAAAAGAAGAAGATATATGATAAAGCAGGGAAAGCCACACTAAATGTCCAAAATACACATCTAACAGAGAAACTTTGTGGCCAATGCCATCTTGTGGCAACAAAGAGAAGTGTGTTCCTATTAAAGACCAAAAATAATCATGATAAATAACATTTAAATGTAGACACTGTGATACAAGCAAAAATAAAATTCAAATCAAGCAAAGGAAAAGTTAGATAAATTTCTTTTCATTAATAGACAATCTATTTATTGGGCCAAGTACTAAGACAAGTCCAAATATCACATTAAATTATCAGTAATCAAATAAATGCCCATCTGTAAGCTTCTTCAGTTCTTCCACACATCAAAGAAGTTATCCTAATCACTGTAATTCCTTCCAATGTTAAAGTTAAGATCCAAAATCTCACCATGCAAGATCCTACACAAGCTATCAGGTATACTTTCTGTGGCTCCTCTCTAGTCTTTACACATTCCAAAATTATATACTGGTTTACCTAAACTCTTCATTCTCTAAGAAAAAAATGTCTTTGTGGCTAACACAATGCCTTTGTGCATATTCTGCTGTTATCCTAGTATATTCCTTTCTGTGCTCTCACAGCAAACCCAAATACAAATTTCAAGAAAAGAGCTCAATTTCCCTTGTGAAGCATTCATTCTTTCTCCCTTCTAGTCTCTCTCCTTTCCTCTCAATGAAATCAAATCCTTTTTGCCTCCTGGCTCCTATAATACTTTAAGCACATTCCCAGAAAATAAAGTCAATAGCTGAAGGTAAATTAAAAACCAGGGTCCATAATCTGATCAAAAAATGTAAAAGGCATGCAAAATATCTGAAATTGCAAGTGACTGAGAATACTTTGGATATATGGCCACCAAAACTAAAATGCTTGCTTATTCAACAAAAATGAAAAGAATTAATTATTATTACCATTAGGGAGCTCTGGAGGCCTAGTGGTAAGGAATTGTGCTGCCAACGCAAAGACACATGGTTTACATGGTTCAAAGCCAACAGCTGCTCCTCATGAAAAAGACAGGCAAGCTCCTCTCTTGCAATTTATAGTCTCTGAAAATTCACTGGAGGGTCAGCTATGTGTTGGTTCTGACTCAATGGCACATAACAACAATTAGAATTACACTTTAAGCATTGTAATTGGCTCTAGAGATACAAGAAAAGATAATAACATCAATTGCGATTGTCCTTGAATAACTTTGAGAAGAGCTATTCCAAAAAGGCAGCTGTGATAGAGCCATGTGCCACACCATTACAGTCAGGCCCTGCATTCACCAGAACAGCAGTAGCCCCTGCTTACATAACTGCAGAAAATTACCCCTTATAATTTAAGGATGGTTTCAGAAAATGTCATCTTCTGAAATGGAGCACTTAAGTAGTGTTTTTTTTTTAAATTTAGGTTGTTTATTTTTCATTTCAATGAACATCTACAGAGATTTTGGGATTCCATTCATTCATTGTTGCACCCTTCCCCCCGCACAAACCCCTCTCTCCTCCCCCCACCTTGCTCCTCTCCTTTAAAAGCAAAACTCCCTCATTGGTACACAAGCCCCCCTCGCACCTCCCCAAACCCCACCCCCTACCCCCAAATATAATCCACTCTGAAACCCTCATTGCATACTCCTACGATTAAGTAGTATTTTTTTACTATTACTTCTTCAGAGTAATATATCTTTTATAATTGTAATACTAGCAAAACAGCAAATGACAGTCATCCATTCATAAAGCAGAAGAGAGGTAAACTTATCCACCTACCACCTAAGAAAGCTATTAAAATAGATGTTTATTCTTCTGTCAAAGAGAAGGATAGTGACTTCTACTCTCAATCTCTACTACTAACTAGTGTCTCTATCAATTATATCATTAAATATTTTCTTCTAGTTTTTGATGTAACTAATGTACAGCTTTACTTCTACATCTTCAATTCCTTCCTTAACTCATGCAGTGAAACTTCTGCTCCTCACCGTAATAATGGAAAGAATCTCTCATTTAGGACAAATTCATATTGTATTTGATGGTCACAATTTGAACTCAACTTTCTACAATATTTCAGATTGATAAACACTACTTTCTTCTTGTGAGAAGTGGGATTTAAACCCGTGCCTCCAGGGGAGACTGCAACCTATACATAACACATAGATCACACTATACCAGAGTCTTTTCAAGCACTTGCTATATATCTGAAAGCTAGACAATAAATAAGGATGACAGAAGAATAATTAACGCCTTTGATCTCTGGCTGGAGAAAAGTACTGATTATCCCATTGACTTCCAAAAGAACAAATGGACATATCTTGGAAAAAAGTGTAGACAGGACACTTGTTGGAGGTGAAGATAGCAAAGCTTCATCTCACAGACTCTGGACCTGTTGCTAAAAGAAGCTATTCCTTGGAGAAGGATATCATGCT